AAGCAACTTGAAAAACCTCCCATACTAACACTTAAAGCTACCAATATTCGAGTGGTATTTCAACAGGTTGAGTTCTTCATGTTTGACGCGAGGGAGATATTAGGGAGATTGTGGTACATAACAATAGAGACTCATAACAAGAGTTTATATCATGCCACCTCATCTGAAAACTTATAACCCTTCATCTACTACTGTTCAATTTACAGTCTCGAATGCCGCCCCAAGGTCGACAATCGCCTCAAAGATCATTTTCTACGTCGGAATTATTATCCGAATTGTAATATTTGCATCCGTTATCTTGGTTGATACCGCTACATGCCGCAACCATATACCCGACAGTTGGACCGCTATTCCATGGGACACAATATGGACGAGTAGTATCGGTCTGATTGCGTGCAATATTGCAGATGCCTACATGTGGCAAGGCATTGCTGCTTGCAGCGCCTTATTGCTTTACTTTGTTGTCAGAAAAGGCTATACTGGTTTGTTTCCATATCATTCCATCCAGCGGGCGGCCAGGACGCTAATGATGGTTGAAAGAGGAATCTTTGCTTGTCATTCGAGGCCTGGGAGTACAGACATCGACATCTTCTGCGACTTATTTCCCCAGTGCGACAACTAGATTTATCCCAACAACTCAGATCCAGGATATTGTGATCCATGAAGCATTCAGGGGGTTTGAAGTGCGATACTACCTAGCTATCATTGTCGATGGAGAGTCTGACGTTGTTGTTGTGTTCCCTGTGGGTATTCCCCAGTACTCCTCGACTCATTCACTATGATTTCCTGTGATAATGAATGTTTATGGCATAGCTAATAAATTACAGAACTTGTTACCGAAGCGTACGATCGTCGAGGAAGTGTGGAAAGGTGCTCGAAAGTGCCTTTACGAATCTTCCTCATAATGGGAAGTCATGTGGCTTTATAGTACGCTCCGGGTGATGGCCCAACCTAGATTATCTATCAATTTTTAAAGGATCTCATTCGCCATCGAGTGCTGCTTTCCGCTGCTCTTCCTGGTATTCTAGGACCTTGTTCCAATACTTGTGCCCTTTTTTTGACAAATACCGGGCATTCATGTCCTCGACAAGGTCAAGTTTTGTTCTGTTCAACAGTGGTACATATTTTCCGATGGGTTTCCCATTATCTCCTCCACTAAAAACCCTAGGACTCCGTACTGCCTGTACCTGATTTGACGGATGGTCATCTCCTTTCGAAGCAGCAATCGACTGACCTCGATTCGCCATGGATTCCAACAATGTACCAGCCAGCAACTCATCGATCTTTCTATTCCTCCAGAGGGTCCATAAGTCTTCAACAAGACCACCTTGACCAAAGTTGCCATCTGTCCTACGCGACGGAGACTTCAAAGTTCGTGGATCACCTGGATAGACCCAATCTAATTCATCCTCTTCTTCTCCAAATATACAGTCCCAGAGAACAAGAGGGGAGTCTGAAGCCATCTCATACACCGGCCGTCGCGGGTTTTTTGTGACATCTAATAGCTCAGGAACTATAGATGGATGTTCAAGGCCTTGACCAACAAGAAATAAGATTCCAACCATATGACGAATTTGATGCCATAAAAATGCTGTACCGTGCACTGTGAATGAATACACTTTGCCGGCTGCTGGGTTGATATCATTAATGTTTTCGGGGACCCCGGTATTTCTAGAGCCGTTTTCAAAAGGTTCAAACCCAGGCATTTGCACAAACCCAAGCGGGGTTCTCTGAGGGTCCACGAGTTCTATATCCGCACGTAAAATACGCCGCACAAAATTTGTTATTTGCTTGCTCGTATCAACTTTGCAAAAATTTCGAAAGTCATGACTGCCCACAAAATATTGTGCTGCTTCCCGCATAGCTTCTATATCCAGCCATCCTTCTCTTGGCCTCTCTAAAGATAAATCATCTTTTAATTCAGAAGATCTGACGATGCCTCTAGCACCAGGAGTTGGGCAAAATGCGGGCTGGGTAAAGAAGTAACGGTACCTTCTTTGGCGACATGAAAAGCGTGCGTCAAAATCAGGAGGTAAATGAGGGCACCACGCAAGAACTCGTATATCCTCAGGTAAAGCGCCATTCAAGATCTGTATATAGGGTAACTCGTCTGCAATATCATCCCATCCCTTGGCTTCTCCTGTATCAGAGACACCACTTTGTGTATTTCTATCGCTCATACCCGATTTGGTTGCAACGACCGAATCCATAATGTCTCCCCCTTCTAAGTCAGCAGGGGGGGTTTGGGTCCGCGGGTCGCAAGCTTCGCACTCTGATACCTATCACCTGCCCAAAAGCGCTGACTCCTTTGTCCGTCCGGCCACATTTAGAGTACTGGCACCCATCCCAGTGTATTGCATATGGGCGAGAAGGACTGTTATCCTTTCCAGTAAATTCCTCAGTACAATCTTTATGAGTCGGGAATATAAGGCGAGTCTTTCGCAAAGCCTTCCAGAGTTCCTCTTCAATTGTGGGTACCTCAGTATAATTGCCATTGGCATGCTCTAATCCATTGTATCGTCTCCCCAGATAGGCAAACTTAATGGCAATATGGCGCGTCGAATATTTTGAAGGGTCAATTTTGCGGCGTTTCTTATCCGACTTTCGAGAAGGGTTCAAGCTCGTGGATCGTTCGCGGGGTCGACTATTAGTGGGTGTTCTCTCTGGCTGACCTAGACCTTTGTCAACCTTTTGGCATTCGGTGCTAGGGGTTGAGACGGCGTTTTGAGGGCATTTATTTAACTGCCGTTCCAGTTCATGAATTCGATTTATGAGGCTGGTATTAGACCAGTCGGAATATGGCGAATGGGATGAATCTTCGGTCATCTTTTTCTCGATGAGAAACCTAGGAGTTGACAGGAACCGTTTTGTGTGTGTTTTGAATATTGTAACTCTGTTAGCATTGGTGCAACTCCCCCAACACAGCACTCTCATACTTTTCTTTATTTAGTCCTTGATGTTGAAATATGTAGATTTTCTTTCAATTGAAAAGGCGAAAATCCAGTCGTCTCCATGGTCACGTGAAGGCTATTTTGGGAGACTACGAGTTTGGCTTTGGTTGGACTTTAAGCAGGATTATCATTCTTATATTAGGCTATATAGTACAAGCTTACCTCATTCAGTATTTTATTATTGCTTAACCTACACCGTGCTTTTTTTGTTGGTAGTAATGCATAAGTATTGAATTACAGGTCGAAGGGTGTAGCATGGCACTGCATAGATACAGTTTTGCCCAGTAGCTTCATATCTGCCGTTTGTCTAATAATATTGAGTTTAAAACCTACAGAGTGAATATACATTTTCATTTCAAAGGAGAGCTAGAGGGATGTGGAAGGCCCCATGTACATTTCTGATGGTCTTGGGATATTCTTCTTTAGGTTCAGCGCGCTTAAGGACAGTGTCGATGAAGCGCCTGTTAGGCTCCACGTGATCATTTAACTTAGCGCCAAGGCCAGAGTTTATTCCAACATCTATGTATGAACTCCATCCTTTGGCGATGTCAAACATTTACCAATCCTTGGAACAAGGTATTAAAATCATTATGTCTAATAATAATGAGATTGATTCCGTCAACATGTTCTCTTTGAGGGCTGGATCCTACTGTTTAGCTATAAAGGGCCATGGATAGTAGGACACCGGACGTAAAACAGTCTCCAGTACATTGGAGAAAGGGCCTACAAAAACATGTACGGCTACGGGAAACAGCTGGTATCCCAGACGGGGATCAGAGACGATGAAGCTTTATATGTTTTCTTTTATATACCTTAGATATTACCCCCCGTTCCTTGCACTTTCATCTGGGGAATTATTCCTTAAAGGTTGCCTTTCCTGGTAGATACCCTAAGATTATGGCCCGGTTCCGTAACACTCTCCCAAAAGAATTTCGCACTTTGTACACCTTTGGTGTGGAAGTCGAGTTTATCATCAATTTCAAGATCGCGGACTTCATTACTGCTATAAACACAGAGAGTTTTCATCACCCGGCGAAATGGAAGTTACTGCGGGCAGTATATGAACATGTCATCAATGAGATGCAAAGCAACGGGTTCCTGGTGAATACTTACCTCCAAAATCACAATGACCCATCATATTGGACGGTCAAACCGGCCGCTTCTATAGCAACAGAAGAATTTGATGTGGCAAAGGATGAATGGGGTGGCTGCCCAGTCAGGCTTGTGGCACCCGTGATGACCTATGGGTCCCCATCGTTTGATCTCATCAATAATGTTCTGATCTTCCTGAACCAACAATTTGATATTGTGGTCAATGCCTCGTGTTCGTTGAACGTACACGTGGGCAATATTGCTGCAGATAAAGACGAGGCAGCGGGCAGCAAAGACCTACAGAGCCTAGGATTTTCCTTGACAACCGTTGAGAATCTTTTGAGTTTTATCTGGCTATTCCAACTGCAGTTACAAGAGATCCACCCCCCGTCTCGGATATGTGAGTCAGTCTGCCTTAGTCCTTGCACCTTACTATCACATCTGCACGTACGAGTCGTCAAGGAGGCAATTCAAAGTTGTACTAGCATGCAGCAACTGTGTCGACTTTGGGATGGAGCAGTTGCTTTTCACGATAGTAACCCCGGTAAACTTGCATATAGCATAAAAGATATGGCCATATATGCTTCATTGGATGGCGAATTACTTGATTCGGGGAACCGAACTGTACAATTTGGGCAGCACCAGAGTACAATGGATATGTCAGAAATCTATCACTGGGTGATGCTCGTGGGCCACCTGGTGAGGCTGGCCGATACTTGTCGTCCTTGGTGTCGACCGTTAGGTTTAGCTGTCGGACGCGAGAGAACGCGCCCTTTCAAGACTAGCGAGTATGCGACAACGAGTCTATTGATAGAGATTGGCGCAGTAGAACATGCTGATTTCTATAGTACCAGACTGTACCAGCACGATAATACAGGCTACATATATTACTGCGGTTGATATCCTTCTTTTTTTTTTTTTCTCTCGCCTTCCAAAGTTCTGCATATCCGCCATTTACCCTTAGCAATTGAGTTTTATGTTTTATGCAGTATGCAAGACAACTGGCTCAGGTAATTGCATGTATTTTTTTTTATTTGGATCTAGCTAATGGGAGTGGGACAACGATTAAGTACGCCCCTTGTTGACAGCACAGGGCTTTCCCCCAAAGGACCAGAGGCCAGATGGGTATCTTTCCCTCGTAAGCGCCGTCAAATGAAAGCCATGACATTCAAAGCAATAACCGTATGGAGAAGGGGGTTGATGAACTCGTTAAATCTTTCTTTTGTCGCAATTAAAATGAACGACTGTTGTAGATGGACAAACAGAGTAGACCAATGGCCGACTATCGGATTTTGTTTTATGTCCTTTGCAATCGAGTAGCTGCATTTACCAAGTAGGCTCAGCAGCGGCGGTCTCGGCGGCCCAGCTCTCACCAGCAGCAGCACCGGAGGTAGCCCAGTCGGTGGAAGCCTCCCAGTTGGTAGCAGCAGCGGGAGCACCGAAGGCAGCAGGAGCAGCAGCACCAGCAGCATCCCAGGTATCAGCTGGGTTGAGAGCCTCAGGAGCAGCCTCCTCGGCCTCAGCGGCCTTGGCCTCCTCAATCTCCTTGGTTTCCTCAGCTTCAGGGTCGCGGTAGAAGTACAGATCGACGACGATATCCCATTCGGTCTCACGGGTAGCGAGAGTGCCACGGAGGCGGAGGACTTCGCGGGCAAGCATCCACCAGACGAGACCGATAGCGTGGCGACCCTTGTTGTTGGTTGGGATAGCAACATCGACGAACTCGGTAGGGGAGTCGGCGTCGCAGAGAGCAATAACGGGGATGTTAACGTAGCTGGCCTCCTTGATGGCCTGGGCGTCGGTGCGAGGATCGGTGACAACAATCAGGCGAGGCTCCTTGAAAGAGCGGGTGATGTAGTTGGTGAAGCTACCGGGGGTGAAACGACCGGCAATCGCAACAGCGCCGGTGTGGGCGGCAAACTTGAGAACAGCACGCTGGCCGTATGGACGGGCAGAAATGACACAGATATCAGCTGGGTTGTCGATGGCAGCAATGATACGGGCGGCAAGGACAATCTTCTCCCTAAACACAGTATATTAGTTTTTTGCGCGTCATTCGGTTTATAGCTGGCTGTTTCCAGAAGAATTCGCCGCATACCAGGTCTTGCCAATGTTGATAACGTTGACACCGTCTGGACGAGTCTTCCACAGGTAAGGCTCCATATGGGTTTGCATGTTCTTGGAACCGAGATGACACTGGGCAGTGAGCATCATCTCCATGTCCTGGGAGGTGGCATTGAAGACTGGTGGGAGGTTGGAGGGAGCCATGATGGGCGACTGATATCTATCCTGCTGGGGGACGGTGTATAAGGAAGAGTATCAATCGACGGCGGTTGTCTTGACGGGGATGGGAGAGAGTAAACGAGGGAAAAGATCAAAAAATCAAAGCTCGCGAAGGTCGAAATTTCGCCTATTTTGGAATTCTTGGCGGAGTCGCTCTTTTTTGTGCGTGACTAATCGCTGACTAAGATTTAGGGCAGAACGGAGAAAACTAAACCCGAGGACTTTAAGTTTCCATGGAGCGCCAAGGATGGAAGTTAGAAGCGGATGAAGATTTGCGAAGACAGAAATTTGAAGGTTGAGGAAAGCAAAAGAGATAGACAGCAGAAGCCAGGAGCGAAAAGGGGAGAGACTCAATCAGCACAAGATGGCACCTCGCGTGGCCTCAAGTGGTATGTACAGCGCATGCGTGTTAGGTAAAGTCTGATCCGTTACTGATCAATTGGGAATTGTACAGGCCTATGTAGCTGGTTCAGTAACCTGACCCTGAGCCGGGTTGGCTCGCAGCAATCGAGGACGGTCACAACAAAGGGCCATGGACGGAGACAGCGAGATCCCTTTGCAATTGCACAGGCACGTCAGCGTAAAGCCGCAAACATATCTCGACAGCGCGAATTGAGTCAGCAGCGGACGGAAGCGTTTGGCGATCCCGTTGCCAGCGAGAAGACACCAATGATAGAAGCCATGCTCAACCCGTCCCTCTATCCGACTCTGGGATCGAAGGGTGTGCATGTTCCCCCAGACAACGAGCAGTCGAGCTATGTGAACTACTGCATCTCCAAGTCCGAGCTTGCATCGGCCCTCGAAACGTCCAAGCAGCTCACACGACCTGTACCGCCCATTGATGGTAGCGTCGTTGATCCCCAGCAGGTCGAAGACGCTATCAAGAAGCATGAAGAAGACCACAAGAATGCCGAGGAAGCTGTCCGTCGAATCCTGGCGATGAAGAACGGCAGCACCAGGAACCGAACAAAGCTGAATATCAAGCGGTCAATCGACATACTTGGCCGCCACAACACAGACCGAATACTCCCTCCCAAACCGGCCGCTGCGGGTCAAGACCCTGCCAGTCTCGAGTCATCTACCAAACGGCCGCGCGCTGGCCCAGACACGGGTTCGCCCGAGGTACAAGTGGCTATCCTAACGTCCAAGATCCTTGTGTTGGCCGAGCAGCTGAAGACGACTTCACACAAGGACAAGCACAACAAGCGCCGACTACGGCTGTTCGTCCACCGGAGACAAAAGTTGCTTAGCTATCTACGGAGGAAGGAGAGGGGTGGTCCCAGGTGGCAGAACCTGATGCAGACGCTTGGGTTGAGTGATGCAGCGTGGAAGGGCGAGATCACGTTGAGATGAAGACGACGGACGGCTGTCATTGGACGAAGCCGCTGACGATGTACTATTAAGCATTCACCTGTTAGGCCGCTTCACTTTTGTATTTCTAGGCGTATTATCCATAGATGTATTTACGCAGTGCTGTTTAATGTTAGCCTTGCCTCTACCCAACCGTCTCGACAACCATATCTTTCCACTATCGTCCAGCCCTTGACGCCTCGACTGTCCTCCGCTGCCCTCCCGACTCTCCTCTGCTCTCCTGCCCTGCTCTCCTGCCCTGCTCTCCCGTCCTGTCCTGCCCATCCTTGTCCTGCGCTTTCGTCCCATCTCTGGTTGCCGTGGCGTCGTCCTATTACGTAAGCAACGTCAACCAACGTCCAAGGAAAAAATATCTATGGAAACCACTTTAGGAAGCATTTTCAGCGTGCTTTCTCTGCCTCGACGCCGTCAACACAGCAACACAGCAATGAGATTCTGAGTGTCCTCCTGCCCTCGCGGTGCGCTCGCCACCCTAGCTGTCCTCCTGCTTGTCTCGCGCCGTCTATTTATCTCTCTCTTCACCCCCCGCGTTCCCTGCTCGCCTTTTCTCTTCCTCTCACATCCACACCACGACCGCAGCAACAGCGTCAAGCCAAGTTGATACCCTCACGTCCACCACAAAGGCATTGCCGTTTACTCTCTCGTGTCTAAAGGTGAGTAACTCGAGCTTGTATCTGCTCGATATCCTGTTTCTTCTGTGCCCTCTTGCCGCTTTGATGTGATTCTGTTCGCCTTATACTCGCTACGTCCTCGAGCTTTGCGGTTCTAGACGCCTCCGAGTCCAAAGCTCCTCGCTTATATAGCTCTGGCTTCAGAGACTACGAGTTCTTCTGCGTCGCGTTTCCTCTCTATTACGTGTCTGCTGGCTAGCTTGATACCCGTTCTCGCGTCTTCGAGTCCGTCGTGGCCTCGAGTCTCGTCCTGCTCTCCTGCTCCCACCTCTCACGTCTACTACTACAACTTGACTTCTTGCTCACATGAGCTCCTATTACTTCTCAACACCTACTTTTACTGCCTCTACCAGTTCCTCTGAGTGCGTGCTAATGTCTTTTTCCGTATAGCTGAAGCAATGGCTCGCACTCGATCCCAACCTCTCTCGCCATCTGGCTACCGGATGTGGCAGACACCACCCCGAACCCGCAAGCAAACTGCAGAAGCTGCTCCTGCCGCAAAGGCTGCTGCCCCCAAGGCACCCAAGTCGGCAACTACGCGCGTCACAAAAAGCAAAGCCAAGAAAGGCAAGAAGCCAGCTCCAAAGAAGCGCGTTCCCGGAAGCTACGATGACTCGGACGATGAGCATGAAGAGGCTCCTTCCCCGGCAGAGAGCAGCACTGCTCATGGAAGCCACGGCGAAAAGGTCAACAATAATAACACCAAACGCCGTAGCAACAAAAATGAAGATGTCGTCACCGAGGTTGAGAGCCCTGCTCCTGCCATTGCTCCAAATACGACTACGACTCGTGCTACACGCTCACAAGGTCCTTCTCCTTCTACTCACCAAATCCAGGTCCTCGTGCCCACCATCTCGCCGGCAAATGGCCGTGCTTCTAACCACGCAACTCCCTCCACACCTACCCCGGTTCCCCAGACTGCAGCTCGCAGCGGCGAAGCAGTGCACGTCCCACCCGTTCCAGAGAGCACGACTAATGTCGAGAAAAACGACAATATCAACACCAATATTAGCGGCAAACAAGCCCCGTTTCAGAGTGAGCCTCAGAACATTTCTTCACGTCCTATCAAACCTTTTACCCGCCGGTTGCCTGCTAGGCACCAGCCCTTTTCCCGTTTTGCCCCAGTCGCCTCCTTTATTAGCCCTAGCAACCTGGAGCTCTCTCCAACCCCTATCATTGACTTGGAGGGCGGTGTGACTCGCAACGGCGAACGCACCACTCCTAAAGAGATTGTCTTCTATCCACCTCCCCTTCCAACAAACCCAGCTTTCCTTACTGCACCTCAGATATCCGTTGAACGCAGACCACTGTGCCCTTGCTGCAACCGAATGCTGGTTTGCCCTGCCAGTCATGATACTTGGACCCACAATGGGTTCTACTTCACGGAAAGAACCAAGCAACTGACACCACTGCCAGCAGTCACCGGCAAACGACGAAGAGAAGTTGACGAGGACAAGGAAAATGAGGACGCTGATAATCAACCAGCCCGCAAAGCAAAACGAGCCCCACCGAAGAAACCTCGACGCAAACCCATCAAATCTAGAGAGATACATCGTCTCCGTCAAGTGACACCATATGCAGACCGCCAACGTCGTCGAGCCCTAGAGAGCCAGGGCAAGATCCAAAGAACCTTGTTCCGGATTCCAGAGCTAATTGCGCAAAAAAAGGCTGCTGAAGCTGCTTCAAATGAGAACAACAATGCTAATGACGATGAGCATTCAGATATTGATACTATCTCTATTCCTGCAATTCCTTCTGCAACACAGCTTGCAGTTGTCTCCGACTTGCACTCGTCTCCACCCCAGCTTCAGCCAAGCACACCAGCACGCACTGTGTGGAGCTTTAGCAGCTTGCTCGACTCTGTTCCTCGGTCTATCTCAAGATTTCTACCATTCCGTGCTGACGCATCGCAGAATGAGAGACACGAAGAACATTCACCAAGTGAGCGTCCCGGATTAACAGTGCATCACGAAAACCTTTCCCAAAACCTTTCCAATGAAACAGAAGAGCCTGGCTACGCGTCTCGAATTCATGAAAACAATAACAACCGCCACGATTACACTACCGTATCTGCTAGCACGCATGCAGTTGACCCTTCCATTTCGGAGGAGTGGAAGGACACTCCAACGGCATTGCCGACGCCAGCTGTTTCAGCCCCAGTCCGAAGTGTAGCTCTCACCCAGCCAGACTTCGATGAAGAAGATCTTTCCTACGACCTATTCCCGAGAAACCACCCGCTATCAAGCTACTCCAGAGAAGCCGCTCTCCGCAAAGCCGAAGAAGAAGCCCAACAGGCACGCGAAGAAGCTCGCCTTGCCCAGGAAGTTGCGCGTCAAGCTCAAGAAGAAGCTCGCCTTGCTAAGGAACAAGCTCGACAAGCCCAAGAGACGGTAAAGATATACCAGCCAACATCGTCAAAGGCGAACGCTAACAGAGTATCCAAGACGACAACACGCAAGGAGAAAAAGAGAAAGCCCATTCCAAACCCCCCAGGATGCAGCTATGGAATGGACCTTCGCTATTTCGGGTCGACTTCCAGCTCCGAAGCTGAGTCGTCCGACAACGAACGACCCGAGGAACTATCGGCCAGCGTTCGACCCGGTGTGCTGAAAGACACGACTGGCACAGACAGCCAAACACCTGCGCGCGGCCCACTTCGACAGCGAAAACAGGTACGGTTTGGCCCTAGCCCGCCAGAAGTACCATCGAAGTCCCGGTCGACAGACCTCAGCACATCGACCGTGGTGGACGGCACCCCAGAGTCTCCATCACAAAAATCGACGGCACAGGCCACTCCCGCTTCCCTCCCAGTCTCGACAAACGCGTCGCCCCAAGACGTCGAGATGACATCGCCAAGCCCGCTGAGGGAGCGGGAGTCCGACAACCAACCCCGAGGGCAAAGCACTTACGGGTTCACGTATGAAGAGTTGTACGGCGACGACTTCTTCGACGATATTGACGAGGATCCAGCCCCTTCTGGGGCTGGAGCCTCGTCGTCCTCCGATATCGTCCAAGAAGTCGGGGTACTCCCACAGCCAATTCCACGAGGAGTACTTCTTGGCCACTCCAACGGCCAAGTCGCCGCTGCACCTCCTGCGCGACCCGCCCTCGCGACAATGCCTGTGCCGTCGTTTCGCCCCGCATCGGTAGGAGCGGCGGCTGTTGAGAGGCAGTTGGCGGACATGGAAAGGTTCCGCCCTCGGCTTCCCAGCAGCCTGCGCACCGCGGAGCGATACTCGTCAAGCCCCGTGCCGGCTTCGTCACCGGCTCTCCAGGGGGTAGTAGGACAGGGACCTCTTTCCCACTCTTTTCAGTGGCCTCCGGCCGCTGATACAGGCTTCACTTTTGAGGCCCAGCCGAGTCACGAACGGCTGAGAGTGGGCTTCCGGCAGATTCTGACGCAGGAGTAATCCTGTCTCAGAAGGCGTGTCACGAAAGAGACCATCCCCGTCCTACGTCCACTCACTTAGTCGCGGCTCCTGTCATTTTCGGCGTTCTGTCGTCCCATGTTTCCCTGGCAGAGTTCAGCTTGTTTTCCCCTCCGCCTGGAGTTGGGTGCCAAACTGGCTCTGCTGCCATTGCTGGTAAAAGGGATTTGGTTCTGTATATTAGCGTTCGAGGCTTCCTGGCTGCTCCTCCTACTCTGCGCCTCCCTTCGGGTTGACGGTGTATTGTTAGGTAGGTCAAAAAGGGAGTCCTCATTCGTTTGCTGTCAGCGTTTGTACGTGGAGTCTGGGTCTGTATGCATTTGGGCGTTCTTGTTCTGTTGGTTCATGTTTCTGGCCGGGTATGTATTTAGCATGACAGGAGCCTGCTTTTGTGATTTTTCCCCCCAAGAAAGAGCATGAGAATGCTCAAGAGCGTTGCATAAGTATAGATTATTGCCAGGGCATAAAATGCCTATCACGAACATGAATACGGAGTATATATATTGTTACCGTCGTCATCTGTTTCCCATCAGTATTTTGATTCTTTATGTCCTTTATGAGTTCAGGTAAATATAACAGCTATCAATCAAAGCCTTCAAAAGGCTCATCATCATCTACAGCATCACTAATATGAGACTCCGTTTTTTTCTGTTTCGAGGTAGCAGAATTCATCTTTCGAGCCTCTATATTCGCCAAGCGCACCTTTTCCAGCATCTCGTTAGTGCGCTGTAGTTCTGCCTTCTCATCCTCAGTCATGGCTTCAAGTTTAGCTTGTTCTCTCTTCACCCGCTTGCTCTCACGCTTCCGCTCCTTCTCACCCTTTTTCTCCAGCTGTTTGCTCCAAGCCACCGTGCTATTTTCTCCTGGCGCAGCTGCACGTTTTTTGGATGGCCGAGCTCCTTCTCCTTTTTCCTTGAGTTCGGCTAGAGCAGCAAGCCTGCTCTTCTCTTTTTGCTTATCCTTGTAGGCAAAGGTGTCCCAGTTCACTCCCTCCGGGCCGAGTCCCAGCATTTTATCCCCCTTAAAGTCTTTCAACTCAGGCATTTTCGGTAAATTAAGCAGCCCCCAGGACCGACCGGTGTCTTCCCAGTCGATATCGGCTATACGGAATATACTGCTAGTCTGGTGTTTGCTATAACTCCGTACCCAGCTGACAAATGCACGTTGCCCCTTATCATGTACTGCTCTATCAGCTAAAACAGTGCGGCGAATAGTTTCCGTTGCATCCTGTGCCTCGGCATCTGTCGTTATTATAGGTGGAGTGGAGAAGGGGGCAGCTGGTGTCTTTCTGACATCGAGAAAGGGTATATAATCTTCTTCCCTGCCGGTAGTGAGAAATAGAACGCTCAATCCACGACGGCCAGCGCGACCAGCGCGTCCACATCTGTGGATGTATACCTTTGGATCCGTGGGTGGATCAAGCTGTACTACCAGGTCGACCATGGGTATATCGAGTCCTCGAGCAGCAACGTCAGTGGTAAGGAGGATTGTGGGAGTCACAGATTGGGTGAAACGGGTGAAATTCCGCTGACGAACGTTGGGGGCGTGTTTTCCGTGTAGAGGAACAGTGGTGAATGAAGATGGTAATAGGGAAGGGAGAACTAGGCTAAAGTAATCCACGGCCGCACAAGTAGAGAAGTAGATGATGGATTTCTGGGGGGTTGGAGAGATAGATGAGAGAAGTTTGGATAGAGCAGGGATTCTATGAGAAGGGCGAGTCGCAAGATATGTCATTTGGAGACTATAAGCAGACGTTAGAACGTGAACTGTGGTATTCAGAACTATAACATGGAAGAGAAAGGGTTAGTACCTAGCTGGAGTCCTTTTATCCTCTGCACCAGCCCCACGGACTTTGACGGCAATTTTGACTGGATTTCGCAATCCAACACGTACTATTTGGTCCACAGCCTCACTGACGCTAGCACTGAATAAACCGGTTCGCCTCTGCTTCGGTAGCCTGGCGAGGATCTTTTGTAGGTCATCTTTAAACCCGAGATCTAGGAGACGGTCTGCCTCATCGAGAACTAGCACTTCAAACGAAGATTGAGGGCAGTGTACATGTGGAGATGACAGAAGTTCTAGCAGCCTGCCCGGGGTCGAAATGAGGAGGTTCGGCGAGCGCTTGAGGAAGACACTAAGGTCCTGTGCAGGTGTCGTAGTTCCTCCTAGCAGTAATTGAGGAATTACTGAGAGCGTAGAGGACCTGTACGGCTTCCCCGTCTCAGGATCTAATTGTGGTTCTTTTCCGTCTAGTTGGGCAAGCTTCGACGCCGAAGGGCCATGGAAAGCGAGAAGCGAGAGAAGCACGCTATATATCTGCTCCGTCAACTCACTGCGATCGTTAGTTAAAGATCCGTTCAAAGAGATAAAGCGCATCAAATATCTCAATCGTACCGAGTAGGTGATACTATTATAGCTCCAACATGATGCTTTTTCACAGCAGAGTCCAGCCGTAATAGTTTCTCAACAACGGGTATCAAAAAGGACATAGTCTTCCCACTTCCTGTGACAGCTTCCACAACAACGTCTTTATTTCCCATGAACAAGGGTATGGCCGACGCTTGTACAGGCGTCATGCGGCTGAATCCCATAGCTGAAACGGCATCGAGAATCCATTGTGAGAGTGATGGCGTGAGAGCTTCCCACGCGCGGGGATTCTTCGGGGCACTGCTGCCGTTAGCCATTGACGAGGATGGCGGAGAGAAAAGCTAAGCCACGGATAATGGAGTTATATAAATTTCTTGCTCAACAGCACCTTCATTAGGTATAATTTGCGTCCGGCTCCCTCCAATTCGTTCCATCTCAATCACCCAACTTTTTCGTCTTTCGATTTTCGCTTTTTGATAACAAAAAAGTAAAAAAAAAGCTTGAAAGTTTAGATTAGAGACAAACAGTGCAAACATCGTTTTAAGGTTATCATCATGTGACGTGACTATAAAATTACATAATCTTCACGTGTTATTTTATCACGTGCAAACTTTGTTTCGTCGACTTTGAATTTAATAAAAGAAAAAAAAAAAAAAAAAAGGAAAAAAAGAAAAGAAAATAAAATAAAATAAAGA